AACAAACCAAATATCAAATACCTTGTCACGTAGGCATGAGATGACTATTTGGCCACATGAGACCGTCCTCAAATGGCAATTAACGATAGTTAACAGCAGTTAAGTTGCTGTGCTAGTAAGGGCTAAATTGCTTCTATGGTAGAGTTCAGGGGTTTATATGCATCAATCAAAGTGTAGGGCTTAAAGTGTAGGGCTTAATAGCGATTCTGGGGTTAGTTCAGGGCCTTAACGTATGGTTTTGCCTATATAATTCAAGCCAAGGAAACAGTGGAGTAGATCGGGAAGCAAGATTTATTCTTAAAGGACAATACCCATATTATTTGGCGGATTGCCCTCTTTCTTAATGCTTTGTTATGTTTATTGATTAAAAAGGCTGTATTATAAAATACTTACGGTATCTTGTTATAAACAATATATACATATTTCTTTTTCCTCATAAAAAAAAAGGGGGGAGGGGGGGGGGGGCTCGGCTGCTGTTATAAGGGAACTTGAGATTAACCATGTTTCATTCATCAATGACATTGGTATTTATAACATAAGCATTCGATTCTTTGCAAAACAAGTATTATTTTTTGTAAGTGAGAGTTTTAAGTTTTAAAGTTAGTATAAAATAAAAATTAATTTCTTTAAATATATTCAACCATTATAGAAAATGTATTCTTAAGTTGTTTGAAAAAAATATTAATTTTAAAATATATAAAAACTAAATCAAAAATGCCCTTACAATCTCTAAAAAAAAAAAAAATCAAGTGTGATATTTATACATGTTATAACAGTAAAGCAAAATGACGCTTGTAACCCCATAACAAATATACACATGTACTATGTCATATACTCTTGGCTTATCATTCCCCAATTTGTGCGAGATTGGAAAGAACGTACAAGTTGACTCAAAGTGACTTGAAGCTCGATATTGTCAGTGCCTTGGTGGGAAGATCTGCACATTGATCCTTAAAAGCAACAGGATGAAGCCGAACCGATCTTTAATGCAACCTCATCTCGAATAAAATGAACATCAATTTCGATATGTTTTGTTTGATTATTGCTAAAAGTTTTCAATATGCTTTGTTCGATTATTACTAAAAGATTTGTAGTCGTATACAACACACATATTATCGCAATAAATCTGTGTTGGCCGAGATACTTAAATATGTAATTCAAAACGAAGACGCCGAACCCAGGTAGCTTCAACTATTGCATTTGCCATAACTCTATATTCTGCCTCTACACTTGAACAAGACACTGTAAATTGTTTCTACTGTGACATAGAAGTTAATGAATGACCAAGAAAAAGGGAAAACCCGTAGATCTCTTGGTATCTAAATAAGTAACCAACCTGTCCAATTTGTATCTTGCTCGGAAGAGTTTAAATCGTTTAAATCGTGAAATGAGTGACCAATTTGGGAAAAAATGATGATGGAGTGTTTGATAAAATTTTAAAAATATTTACTTTTGAAGTATTATTTTCTCAAAGGGAAGGAAAAATTTAAAATTGTCTTTTATAATAGGTTTTAAGTTTTAAAAAGTTTAAATGCTTAACTTTTTTTAAATTTACTTAAAACTCATTTAAAAAATTAATTTTAAGTGTTTTTTATTAACAAAATTTTAAATTCATTAAAAAATAATACTTTTAAAATAAATATTTTTTAAATTTTATCAAACATTATCTTATCTTGTGTTATATAATTTATTATCAATGTACTTACTACTAAAAATACAGAAAACATTTATTCCCTCCTAAGTCTCATGAATGAAATCCTTTTTGATTTTTTAACTTTAGTTAAAAAAAATCCTTTTTCATTTAATTTTTTAATATATTAAATAATAAATAACTCTCTTTTTTTTTCAACTTTTTTTTCACTCAACTCAAAATTTAAATATGAAATTTTTACTTTAAGATTTAAATTCTTAACCTATTACTTAAGTCACCAATTTGGAAACTTTTTGTTGTTTTGGGCTTTTAGCTATTCATAAATATTTGTTCTTGCCTATGAAATTTTTTGAAAGCTCCAGTATTAGCGTGTTTTGCCCCCAAAATAAAAGATACATAAAAGAAAAGAAGAAAAAAAAGAAAGAAGAGAAGGATAGAAGGAAAGGAGAGACTACCACAAAAGAGGATAAGAACTAAGCTTCTGCTGTCTTCTTACATGGCATATGCCAGATGGATATGGGTATGCGTTATAACGCCAACAACTTGCTATGGTAGATATATTATCCTTTTATATAATCCCTACTTTGTTTATTTTATAAATGGACAGTTTTGGATAAATAAATATACTGATGCTTGATAAAAAATAAATAAATTTTTAAGTCTTTCTCATTTATTCCTAAAAAAAAGAAAAGAAAAAAAGGTGTTCCTCATTTATTTCTCTCTCATATTTTTGGGTCATTTCTCTCCCCTCTCTCCTCTTTCTATCTCACTTTCATTCTCTTTCCTTTCTCTCTTTCTCTCAGGTTTCTCTTTCCTCTCTCTTTCCTCTCTGTTTCTCTCTCCGGAAGGGGCAAAATCCTAAAGAGACGTTTAACACCCCTAAGTAAGTTTTCTCTCTCCTCTCTCCTATGTCTTTCTCTTTATCTTTCTAAAATTTGAATATATGGGTCCTTCTAGTCGACCCGGCCTTGTACTGTTAGACCTGTCATTTGAATCCTCTTCTCTCTTTTTGTGTTTTTGAAATTGTTTATTTGTTTATGGAAAGGTGTAATTGTAGAGATCTGCAATTGAAAGTTTCAAAAAAATGTTTCTTTGTTAATGGGAAGTTGAAGTTGTGGAGATCTGCAATTTAAAGTTTCAAATTTGAAGGAAATAACCCATTTTGAGTGTAAAGCTAACAGATCTGTTTGTGGATTTCTATGCATGAGCGTTTGGATCTTTGGAAAATATATAGGTTATTTGGGTACTTTATTTGTGAATAATTTGTTTGTTTGAAGGTGGAAGTAGTTTGTGTTGGGGAGATCTGTAGTTAAAAGCTTCAAATATGATTCACCAAAAAACAGTTCCGATTTTGAGGAAAACTATGGATACAGATCTTAAATCGTTGGAGTACTTTTGTTTTTAAGTATAAGGCTAGCAGATCTGGAAATGGGATTTTTTCCTTGTGGCGGTTGGATCTTGGGAAATTGTCCGGAAATGGAAATGGATGTGAATCTGAAGGTGTACATTTCCCATTTCTGATTAATTATTGTGGAAAGATTAGATTTCTATTTCTGTTAATGGAAATCTTAGCATTTCCATGTTTTAGATCCGAGGAAATGAGAGGACTCAATTGCATTTGAGTTTTTATTTATTTATTTATTTTTCATTTTTTGGATATTGGGAACGTGCTTTCTTCTATTTTATTTTCTAGGGTTCCAATTCCAAAGTAAAGCTTATGCGTTCTTTGTTTGATTTGTGATTACATTTTGCTCTTCTTTTTGAATTGCAATGCTTTTTATTTGATTAATGTTTCAAACATATCTATATAATGCAAAAGATTAGACGTGTATTTCATTTTTATGATTTGTAGTGCATGCTTTCAGTTGTGCGTTTAAGATTCTCGTTTACATTTTCATGATCTTTGCCGTCTATATAGTTGGGACATTACATTTATGGGGATTGGAATGCTATTGGTAGGTAATTGAAGTCAGTGAAATCTTAATATCTTTCTCTTTTGCTTTTTGCAATGATAGATTCATGGATGAGGATCCATTGAACATGCGCAACTGGGGTTATTATGACCCACCCTTTAAGGGACACCTTAGTCTGCAACTCATGTCAAACATGGCAGATCGAGACACAAAACCATTTATTCCTGGGCGTGACTCAAGTCTCATGTTTGCTACCAATGCTTCCTATCACCCACGGGACTGTGTTGTCTCTGAGACATCTATTCCTATGAACTACGTCAGGGATAGTTGGATAAACCAGAGGGATAAGTTTATGAACATGTTACCTACTGGCGCTCCTTATGGTGCCATTCCTGAAACTTCAGCAGCTCATTCCTTGCAGATTATGCAGCCACCACCCAATCCATCAACAAGGGATGAGAGAGTGGTTGGCAGATTTGAAGAGCCAGCAGCTTATAAGGAAGGTGTTGATCAATTGAAGAAAAGGCAGGGTGGGGTTGCTCCCAAGACACCAAAAGCCAAGAAGGCTAGGAAGCCAAAGGATGACAACAATCCTACCGTTCAGCGTGTGAAGCCAGCTAAGAAGAGCTTGGATGTTGTCATAAAGGGCATTACAATGGATATTTCAAGCATTCCAATTCCAGTTTGCTCATGTACCGGAAATCCTCAGCAATGTTATCGATGGGGTTGTGGAGGTTGGCAATCCGCCTGTTGTACGACTAATGTATCCATGTATCCTTTACCAATGAGCACCAAAAGACGTGGTGCGAGGATAGCTGGACGTAAGATGAGTCAAGGAGCATTTAAGAAGGTCTTGGAGAAACTTGCAGATGAAGGCTACGACTTCACTAACCCAATTGATTTGAGGACCCATTGGGCCAGACATGGCACCAATAAGTTTGTCACTATCAGGTAGATTTACATCATGGAGAGACATGGAGGACTCCATTCTGGTCTGCTTCACCTGTATATATTTCTGTGGCCTGCTGCAGAGACCTTGCGTGCTCAGTAATTTCTTGATTCTCACCGTTATGATGCATGTTTTTGAAAATTTGGACATCCAGGTTCTTTAATTTTTCATTTATGCTTTTGTGCTTTAAGGGCAGTCAGTTATCTGGATACCAAGATTTAGGATGTGGATGAGTTTTCATTTCTTGGGTCCTTTTAGATTATATCTGTTCATCCACCAGATGAGTGTTGTTGAATCCTTCATTCGCTATGTATCTCTTGACTGACTAGACTGTACTTTTATCACCTTCGTATCATAAGCTTCTAAATCATTCATGTAGTCATGTACTGTTGAGATGTCTACTGCGTTTCTTCTCTGCATTATGACTACACGTTCTATCTGAAAGTACATTACTGGAGACACTATCAGCAGCCAGGAGCCGGCTTGGAGCTTTTAAGGTTAATTTTCTAAGCATTTGTCATGAATTAATGAACACAAATAGGCAAAAGAATCCCTACCTCAGTATCCTCCATTATTTTTATGAAGGAGACTTCTTCAAGATCATAATACCTTAGTTTGATCTTGATCCCATAAGCCTTTGGACCACATTATGGATTGTCCAACACCATTCGAATCAGAATTCTTATGTAAAATTTCTTATGTGGGCTTGTTTTGTTGGTTATGGTCGCTGTTGATTAGGTTGTGAAAACAGGTTAAAATTAAGAAATTTTTATATGAAGTGGGAAATAATTAAGTTTTAATGTTTAATGTTCTTTTTACATTGATAAAGAATCAAGAATATGTATTTCTTAAAATATAAAATGAATTTTTGGTGCATTTGATAATATGTTACATAAAAAGAGATAACTTTTTATTTTTATCAAATCTTTCCTTGATTTAAATTTGAATACAAAATTTTTAATATTTGAATCACAAATCTCCGATTTAAAATTTTAAAATTTTAACTAATTAGACTATCCTTTTAAGCAAATACATATTCTTTATTCACCTCCTTGTTTAGTAAAAATTTATCAATATTAAGATCAAGTTTTTCAAATTTAACTTTTTTTTTTAAATTTGATAAATGAATAACTAGAACCAATAACCAAATATAAACGTAATACGGTTCAAGGGTGGTAGAGAGAAATCAAAGCTTAGGGAACGAACTTGAGTTGGAGGACGATATTGATGTTAAAATTCAGGAAGTAGT